CCGGACGACGAAGCGAGGACGAAGGCGCGCGATCGAAATTATCGAAGGAGGAAAAGGCGGAGGTGTGGAGGAGGAGGAAGAAGAGACGACGACGACGACGACGACGACGACGATTATCGCGGGATGAAAATCGCGGCGTTGCCGCCGGTAGAACCGACGTTCCCGAGGCTTTTCGGGATCGCTAAATAAAGCCGCGTTGAAACGGTTGCGACGCAGCTGTCGACCCCGGAGTACAATGATACCCCTGTATTTCGTTGCTCCCAGCGAGCGTGTTTCGCCGCGGTATCGCAACGACGAGACGCGGGTTTTTTCGACCCAGTAACGAGGATCGTAAAACGAACGGGGCACGTGTCGGAGAAGTGGGTCACTCGAACGACGCGATCGGCCGCCACTCGGCGTCCATCGACGAATTTTTTCTCCTCCGTCGTTAACCACTCCACCGTCCTCATTGCCGCGCGTAAAATCTTTGCTCTCTCGTTTCGTCGCGTCTCGTGTTCGCGGCCACGTGGAGATTTCGCGCTTTCGCGATAACGAGAACAATGGATGGACGAAACGGCGATTTCGGGTGGAGTTGGCGTTACCGAGAAACGGAGATACCGAAAGGAAATCGGACGTCGCGGGGTGAAACGAGAATCGAGCGAGACGCGAGAAAATCTCGCGCTCGTGAGGTTCTTCGCGCGGAGAATTCGCGCGGGTTATATTTATCCGATTGTAGCGAGGAGTTTGCTCGCGACTGGAAAACACGGTACGTGGAGCAAAACGCGAACGACCGACGAGCGACAAAGAAGGAAGAGGAGTTTCCCCGTGCGTCAGCGTGTTAGCTCGAACGTTCACGCGCCGTTTCTTTTTCCCGAGTAAAACGAAAGATACGCGCACGCGCCTCGTTCTTCACGGTCTCGAGAGATGGTACGCGAGGACGTTTGTTTCCTCGTCGATTTCCCTGCGCGATCGCCTCCTGGCTCGAACCGACGTGTACAAGCCCCGGATCGGTCGATCGCTCCAACGGACGACTTATCCCGGACCCAGGTAGGCAACCGGTCTCCCTCGTGGCAAACGTTCCAACGAGTTGAATACCGCGCGCGGAAAGGACGGTCTTTTTTTCGATCCTTGGGTCGAGATTCTCGGTCCCTGCTTCTTTTTAGAAGAACGCTTCGACCTCGTCCGGCGGAGAAAGAGCGCGAGATCTCGAGTTTCAATGGCCGTGCCATGTCCGATTTCGTGACACCCGAAAGACGCGTAAGAAGAATAGGAGCGGGAGCAGCCGTCCGGGGCATGAAAGGAACGAGGGTATACCGCGCGGCTTTCTATCCGACAACCACCACCACCACCACCACCACCACCACCACCCCCTTACCGACCACTGCTACTCGCACCGGAGGCAAATTTTCCGCCCCGTGTCCCGCGCGGCTCTCGCCAACGTTCGCAGCGTGGAAAGATCGCGGCCATCGCGGTTCGGAAAGGTCTCGCGCTCCCCTTTTCTGCCTTTCGATCGCACGGTTCGCGAAACCATTTCGCGAATCGATCGCTTGGGTCCACGTACCGACGGCCACCGCGTCGAAATCGGTGAACGCCGGTAAAGGAAAAAAGCCGGCCAGAGGACGGAACGAGAGGAACGGATAGAAGAGCGCGGACGCTCTCTCGTTGTGCCGTAGGAACAACGAAGCAAGGCGAAGCGGCACGCTGGCCCGAGGGAATCGGAGGGAATCGGAGGGAATCGAAGGGAATCGGAGGGCGTTCACGATAATCCAACCGATCCTCTCTCGAATTCTCCGTTACGAATAATAAACTTGCCGACAAAGTGGCCGACTATCCCGGCAGTCGAGCGAGGATCGGAGCATAGACGCCTTCCACGAACCGCTTTTTTCCGTTTCGACCTTCCATGGCCGTAAAAGGAGAGCCGAGCTCTCGAGGAAGGACGACCGCGAGGTTTACGCGTCTCTGCGCCGCTTACCCGCATAGGCCGCTCGCTTTTATGCTTTTTCGATAAAACTATTTTTTTTCCCTTCTTTTCTTTCTTCTCCCTTCTACGATCCAACCAGTGAACCGACGACTCTCCGTCTCGGCTCTCTCCATTTTCCTCTCTCGCGTCCGACCTTTTTCGTTTCCCTCTTAACCTTTTCGCGTCACCGTTTTACCGTTCCGCGATAACCGATTATTATCTCGAGGTCGATAACGCGAAACGGATACCGCGCGTCCACTTCCGCTCGATACGCTCGCAACGCCGCTGTGCTCCCTCGTTTTCGCCCTTTCCACACGGACCACCGATCAAAACTCCCGCCCTCTTCTTTTCCTTCTCTCCTGTTCTCCTGTTCTCCTGTTCGCCTCCTGCTAGTCCCAACCAACCGACCGACCGACCGACCGACCATCCAACTGGAAATTTTCCTATCAACCTCTCTTCCGTCACCCGCACTCTCTTTCTCTCGTCCTTGCAGATTCTCGGCCGGTTTTCCGCTCCAACGAACGCCGCCATTTTACGCGTCCGCTAAAAGTCATCGGATTTTCCTATTCTCGCTCCGTCACGAGTGGCAGATGCCTGTACCTAGCGAATTCGCTCCCTACGCGTCGCGTACACGTGCATCTTTCGACCGGCCTCCGACTTTCCAACCAGCGAGGTTACGTCGTGCTTCTTTTTAAAACGCCCGCCAACCTTGTTTCTCGCTATTCGATCCTCCTCGTCGTTCCCGTTCACCGATCCTCCACTTTTCCTCGCGAGCTTCCACCAGCTAAGGTCAAACCGTCTTCCTTTCTCGAGACAACGAGAAACGTGGAAAAGGTGGATGATCGAGAAAGAAGGCGCGAGACGTCGTTCGCTATGCGCCGTTGTACGCGCCAATCTACCACGCATGGGTATTTCCGCTGATCCTCGCGTCCCAATTCGAACGCTCGCGGACCGCGTGTCGGCGCGAATGTACCGAAAAACAGATCTCGTTCTGCATCGTTGTCGAAACGATGAATACTACCCTACGACTCGAAGGTCACGCGATGCTTCCAACGGGAATCGCGAATACGAAGAAGGCGTCTCGGCCACGTTCTCTGTCACGCGCTCGCGCGCGCGTACCTCTGTGTATATGCCTTTGCGTGTGTGTGGCTTTCGTTCGTGGAAACCGAAAGCGTCTAATCTTGGACGACGATGATGAATCGGGCATACGAACCAAGGGCGACGCGAAACGCGCTCTCGCGCGCAGGCCTGCGTTTGCAACCTCCTCGCGTGGTAAATGGTAAATGGCGTTTTCGTTCGCGTCTCGATATACCGTTAACGAATCCGATTCGTACGGCGAGTTGCTCGATCCGATCCGAAAAGAAGGAACCGTAACGGAAGAACCAAGGGTTCGAAGTACTCGCGGGAAACGCAATTAGAGCAGAACCGGTCGGTGCTACGAACAGCTTCTCTCTAGGGGAGAGAAGAACGTTTCTTTCTCTTCTGCGCTGCGTACCATCCTTTCAATTCTCCTTCTCTTTCGCCTTCGCCTTCGCCTTCGCCTTCGCCTTCGCCTTCGCCTTCGCCTTCGCCTTCGCCTTCGCTTTTGCCTTCGCCTTCACCTTTCCCTTCGACTCTGTCTTTTTCGGCCGGAGACCGAGACCGGTCCTTTCCTCCTGCATCTTCGGCCGAGCTCACAATTATCCGTGTACTTTTCTATTCTCTCTCGAAATACGAAGCTGTACGAATTTGCAAAAATGGCCAAAACTGGCGATTTTTTCGAAACGGAAACTAAGAAACGGAATAAAATGTCCGAGTCAGATATCGAAAAGATAAGATGAGATCATCGATTATGTGTCACTTCTTATTCCCCCTTGCCTTTCCTCTCTCTTCTTTTCTTCTCTTTTTTTTCTCCTTTCCAAATCGATCCACCGTGAATCGCTTGTCACGATATTCGCCAGAGACGATTCGATAAAGATCGACGCGTGAAATTCCATTCTTTTCCTTTTCTCTATTCCGACCAATCTGGACGCGATTTTTAAATAAACGACCAACGCGTAAGTAGCGCCCTCCGGTAGGGAGACGCTAACCTAAACTCGAAACTGTCGATCTTTTATCGACGTTCGCTAAAACGTTTCGCGGAAATAATTTCCAAGGTTCGATCGCGTTTCGAGAACGGTCGCTGAGAAAAACTCGAGAGATCGATGTAACGCGCTACGTGCTTTCGGTGAAACGATCGGTCTCGAATATTTATCGCGTGTTCGCGTTTACGCCCGATGCGACGCAAAAGATCGTGCGAAGGTAAAGAGAAACGAACATGCTTGCATGTTGTTGTTCGGGCCAACGAACAACGATGGCCTCGGTTTCAGGGTCGTTTCGGCTATTATTCGCTTGCACCGACTTACCTCGCCTTCTCGTTTGCAACGTTCCCCCACCTCATCTTCGGCGAATCCTGTCTTGCACTCTCTCGTTCCCTAGCTAGCCGTACATCCTTTCGCCTAGCCTCGGCTCGTCTCGTCTCGTCTCGTCTCGTTACATCTTGCCACGCTACGCATTTTCTCTTCCATCGTCTGTCTTGTATTTTTCTTTCCTTTTTTTCTCATTTTCTTTCTTTTTTTTTTCTTTCTTTTTTTCTTTCCTTTGCCTCGTTCCATCGTATCCCGTTCTTTCGTATACGCGACATCTTTTCCACCGTAAATTCTTTTATTTATTTATTTACCGGCATCGGACTGAAGCGAGCGAACGCGAAATGTTTGAAAATGCCACAGGCCGTTGTAGCCTCTCATCGAACAACGATCATTTATCGTTTATCAAACTTTCTGCTCAACTGGAATTGCGAATGAAACGGCATACAGTGTTTTCGCGTTTCGCCGTGCCTTCGGTTTTACTTTCGAACCTCATGATTGTTCCTTTACGTACGAGCACGCTATCTTTTAAACTCGTTGCATCGCGACCAAATTACGTCTTCGTTGTCGCGACACTGGCGACCTCTGCGAACAAAAGCGAGAAAGAGAATCGATAGCTCGCAACGACGCATTAGACCAATCGAGAAGAACCACATGGTCGACAAGTCGAACAGAGTCGTTGTTTTGCCTCTGATGCAGACCAGAGAGTAAACCGTGTTAGAAAAAAAGAGTCGAGAGCATGTTACGTATCGTCGTTGATCGGAAAGCTTATCTAGTCGAATTTTTCGTAAAAACGCGATGTCGGTGCCGCGTGGGAAATTTTATTACGCTTACAACAACGAGAAACTTGGATACGTAAAGAGGAGAAGCAAGCAAAACGCGAGGGCCGCTATGACGGCGAATCGCGTTGTTGTGCTTCTGATTTTCGTGTCAGGAGTCGCGGTTGCTGTCATCAGCACTTACCTATCACAATATATTCGTGGCTCGCTCAGATATTTACCGGGTAAGTGTTTCCATCGCGGAACAACCTTTTACCATTTCCCCATCAGTTTTCCTTACCGAGTAGTCTAACCTCTAACCAGAGAACCGTAACGGTGATGCTGGCCTCTTCTTTTAGATCGTGACTATCGACACGTATTTATTCCACTTCCTTCGGAAGGCGTATTAAACGTGTACGACGAAGGTACTTTGGATGTGGCGTTACCAAGGTCTCGAATGCATCGTCAACTGCAAATCCAGAATAGCGCAACCTCTACCGCGGAAGCTTTGACCTCGTTGCATTTGGCATTGGAAATGAAATTGTCGGGTAAGCAGAAAAAAGCGATCAAATTGTTCCAGCATGCGGTTGCACTGGCACCTCGTCATCCGGATATCCTGAATCATTACGGCGAGTTTTTGGAGCATACGCAAAACGACGTTATCAAAGCGAACGAATACTATGTACGCGCTCTGAGCTATCAACCGAACCACGAAGGGGCATTGATGAACAGTCAAAGGACGGCTAGGGTAGTGGAGGAATTGGATCGAAGGATGCTTCGACGCATAGACGACAAACGAAACGCGCTCTCTGCGATACCTGATAACAATGTGGCATTGATACGTGCGAAAAAGGAGGCTTACTTTCAACATATTTATCACACGGTTGGCATCGAGGGAAACACTATGAATTTGGCTCAGACTAGAGCCATCGTCGAAACGCGGACCGCCGTTGCTGGTAAAAGCATCGACGAGCACAACGAGATTCTCGGCTTGGACGCTGCCATGAAATACATCAACGCTACGCTAGTTAATAAAGTAGGATCCATTACGATTAAGGATATATTGGAGATTCATATGCGCGTTTTGGGACACGTAGACCCTGTACAAGGTGGTCAATTTCGGCGTACGCAAGTGTACGTGGGCGGTCATATACCACCTGGCCCCGGAGATATTCACTATCTTATGGAAGAATTCGCGTTATGGCTCAACAGCGAGAGAGCTATTCGAATGCATCCGGTCAGGTAAATTGAAAATTCATCCCGATACGCGATATATCTATCCGAATATAAGCCGTTCGCGATAATTACCCTTCCGCTTACTTCTCTTTCTTACTTTTAGATACGCAGCTTTGGCGCACTACAAGTTGGTACATATACATCCCTTCTCCGATGGCAATGGAAGAACGTCTCGTTTGCTGATGAACATGATTCTCATGCAAGCTGGTTATCCACCGGTTATCATCCATAAACAGCATCGACATACTTATTACGAAAATCTACAAATAGCGAATACAGGAGACGTACAACCGTTCGTTCGATTTATAGCCGAATGTACGGAACAAACGTTGGACCTGTTTTTGTGGGCAACCAGCGAGTTTTCTAGACAAGTTCCCGCACTTAGCCAAGATACTTTGTTCACCGAACGACGTAATACCATCGTTTTGGAGGACGATGTCACTGATGGTGCGACCAACATTTTTGACGCTGATTGATAGTTTCGGTAACTTTTCGCGATACATTTACCAACATTCTTTTCCTAGACCAAAGATACTAATTCAGCCGATCGATCGTTTTATCGTGTCGCTTCGCTTCGTTTGCGATGATGTTTCCTTGCGTTGAAATCGTAACTTCCGTCCTCAAATCTCCAATCATTTTTTTCCATAGAATTAGAAATCTTACCTCTTTCCAATTGCCCTGGACGAACCTATCGCGAACGTTTACACTATTTCTACAATTTTTTTCCCGTACGTCTTGACTTTCCAACGACAGTACACGTTCCTTTTCATTCGCTATACATATACCACGTGATTCCTGTATACAGTATGCTTCCATTTATAGTTTGCGTTCATTTTTGAAATCGTATACGTGGAAAGAAGCGATATTAGAGAAATGGCAAACAGTGAGAAACTGAATCGAAGACTGTGATCTAATTTAAGAATACAACGTAGGTTAATGTATATTTAATTAGACGAATTTTAAATGTCGATATTGATTGTATGTTGAAAATGTCGCGTATAAATTTATAATCGACCGTGTAATCGCTACTTGCTGGTCAAGTTATTCGCGATACACGTTGCGAATACATGCGTGACTTTTTAATAAAGCCATTATTTTCTAAATCCTTGCGTAGGCGTATTATTTCTTTATACCGTCTTGGTGATTTTATACCATTCTATTCTATGCTTTCGATCGATTATGTTTCGTTTATTAAACAACTGGACTCTTTCCTTCGTAAGCTTGTGGCAAGAAAAAAGGCGAGAAATTAAAGAAACGGCATTTGCTACCATTTATAATACCGTTGTCACAACGTTATACGTTTGTTTTCGGCAACAGGAACTATACCTTGGTTTTATAAAAAGTCATATCACCGTATCAACCAGCTCCAGAGTTTACCTACGTCACTATGTACGCATTCGTTGCAACGAGCTATTAACCGGTTTAAACATTCTCCCGCTATTCTCGATTCCATGTAGCGATTAATAATAAGGCAAAGAAAGTATTGAACGCTCGACTTCTACGAAACTTTAATCTTTACGTCTAATAAAACATTAATGACGCTTTGTCGGAAAAGGAAACGATTCAGAGATAATTCGCACCGTTCTTAAGCGCGTTTCATTAAAATATGTATCACGAGTGAACAAAATCTTTATGCTAGACGTGCAAATTCCTCCTTTTTTATGCAATATAACGATGTAGTTTTATCTATATAAATACGTTTCTATAAAAATGATATTTAGCCAACGATGTAAGTTGACGACCTATCGATTTTTCATGCATTCAGCCCCTCTTTCCTCGTTTCTTACTCGTTCGCTCTATCGCACACGCGCGCGCGTGCGTACACACACACACACACATTTGTTCACTCGCGTACACACCTCTCACTCTTTCTCTTTATCTCTCTCTGCTCATTCCTGATTATCTTCTATCTAGTACTCGGTCTCTCAGATCTGACAGAAATCACACTGATCACGAAACGCTAGTCGTTGTCGTATCGATGAGAAATGTTGCACGTATTATGTCGGTATGTTTAACGAAGCGCGTTTACGAAGATTCAGCTGTTGTAAAATGTCAGCAGGGTAGAAACTAAACGACGGATAAGCAAGATAAACATTATCGAATGGTTTTTAGATTCTCTCTGAGAAGTGAGAAAAGAACAACAGGCTTTAGAAGAGGAGAAAAGAGAAGTGCGTAATATTTTGTTTAAAGGAAAACGAAATGAAAATATTTTTTGATCATTTTTCTCTTTTTCCTTTTTTTTTTTTTTTCCTTTTTTGTTTTTCTTACGATAACTACTTATTCGATATTCGTCATTTAGCTCGTTGGAAATACAGTGGAAATGATGATCGTACGAAAGTTAGCAAAGCGTGTGGTCCAAGTTGTCGCGAACGATGATCGATGGCGAGTTATCAATTTGGGATTTACGATGGAACGAGAAATTCTTCAACGATTGTCTTTTCGAACCAGATTTTTAATGGATCGAAATTATTCCTCGACCGCAATTTACGTTCGCTAAGCTAGTATAGATTATACAAGAGATCGTACAAATGCGCGTCGGTTTCAGCTAGTTTTTTCCTTTATTCAATCTTTTCGACAGAAACAGTAACCTTCGCACGTGTAGATTTACATGTTTATTTGAAATCCTATTCATCTGAAATTAGGCAACTAACGTTTGGCATATTAAATTAGGCAATCGGCAAGAACCATTGTCTAGGATATCTCGATGAAGGATGAATCGATGTGATCGTTTGAAATACATACATACATATATATATATATATATAGAGAAAAAAAAGAAGAAGAAAAGAAAAGGAAAAAAAAAAAAAGTAGGATTCTTAAACGATATACTTTATACCGCATATTTTCTCCCCTAGATACGCACCATACACATTTGCACACACGTGCGCTATCGCGGCCAGCAGCACGTATACACGGGAGAAATGAACAGAGGAGACAGAGATAGCAATAGCAATAGCAATAGCACACACGCGCGTGCAACTAATTCATTCGGTTGTCGATTATCGACTCGTACATACGTACGTACACACGTTCATCGATTTAATCGCTCCAATTGACGCGTACCTGCAGACTCATCGTTCAGCTTGGATTAAACGAGAAATTCGAGGGGCGTAAAAGAATGAACCGAAGCACGGGACACGATCGAGTGAACGCACGAGAATACGATTACGATTTAGGGTGCGTGCTGCGTGTGATGGTGGAGAAATAGAAGGAAAAGCTAGCGATGGGAAAAGAGGAGAATGGCAGAGGGAGAAAGATGAGGAAACGTGACAAATGGTTTGCGAAAGGGAATATGGACGGAAGATGAGGGACTGCGTATTTCTCTTCGTTGCTCCGTGTCGTTTCTTTCTCGAGCATCTCGAATGTTTTCGAATTTTCGAAACATCTACGATCGATCGCGAATCGAAAGGTGGTATCGTTAAGTAGCCGTAGCGAAGGGTACAAGACGAGTAAGAAAGTTTACGAATGAACCACAGCGATGCTCGAAAAAGCAACGAATCGTTCGCGCAACTGGCTGGTCGCTTTTCTACCGCTTCCTTTCCTTCGATCCTGTTCATTCCTTTTTGTCTCTACATCCATTGCCGTCCTCCACTCTATCCTTGTCCGTAAACCGTAGGATGTTTTTTCTTCGCGTCCCCGTCTTTCTCTTTTTCTCTCATTCGCTCGTTTACTCGTTCCATCACTTGCTCCTCTTACACCCCAACACCCCCATCATCTATCCCTCTCCCAATCGTTCATTCTCACCCACTCATTCAGGCACGCACGCACACACTCTATCTCTCTCCCTTTCACGCGCGCGCGTAATAGCATCCACATTAATATCGTGAGTTACGAGTTCGCGTCATCTTCTGGCTGATTTGTTCTTCTTGCAACAACTGTCCACGAAACTGACTGACTTGATCAATTGCGGCATTCAAGGTATCGCGCTGCTGCACCAACAGATGTTCCCATTTTTGGGCATACTCTGCAACAAAGAACACGCTTTCAATGCTCGGCTGGTATTCTCTGCCATTTTGCGATAGCGAACGGTAAAGTATCCGATGAGTTTGCGAATGAACGTAAGCACGATTCGATATGAATTAGCGCATCGACGATTACGCTCGATGAGCGAAACGATCATTTTCGCGATCATCGTATACGTACGTGTACGAAATCATCGAATACGTACGTGTAAAAGTAGAAAAGCGTATCATCTTGATTTGATCTTTTGCCCTTTCGGTCAAAGGAACGCGATGAAAATCGCTTTGATTTGCCGATTCGATCCGCTGAGAAATCGGCATCGTATGTTAGTGTGCTTAAAGCGTTTCGATTACGTGGAAAATGCAAATTCCACGAATCCAACGTAAATTTCGTCTTACCCAGTAAGACGTAGCGTTCGAGATTAATTCGTGGTATTACAGGCCGGAGTTAGAGCGAAGAAAACAATATCGTTATATTAAGATTGCATAAAAGTAATATTTATTAGCAGTTCAATCTGTGTTGTACATAAAGAAAAATTCACGCGCTAGAGTCGATGATTGGAGTTGGCTCTTTGCGATACTTTAGAAGGAACATGGACGACACTAGCCGTTTCATTATAGATAAGATGAATGAAATCGGGAAGGTAGAAGAAAAGAAAAGACGAGAATAGAGTAGAGAAGAAGAGAGGAGAGGAAAGATATTTGCTCGATCGATGGTGAGACAGAGTGATGATACGCGATGATGGTATGGGAATAAAAGAAAGCGAACGATATGAACTTGGTTTGCGTACGGAAAATTCGTTTGACCGTTTCGACGGTTACGTTTTCTATACTTACTACCGATGCGTACTTATATATACATACATAGATACACGCATCATATACACATATGTATATACAATGCACTTGGATAGCCGCGCGCTGCGGCTTAAAAGCAAGCATTACTTTTTGGAATGTCGGTGAAGTAAGATGTATGTAGATGCGTTGATGATATCATCGCGAATCGTGATTCCTGATCGCGTAATTAGTGTATCTCTGGTGCGTATTAAGGTAAGCAACGTTTGACAAGTGGTTTTATATAAATTTATATATGTATATATATATATATATATATATATGATTTTGAATCGAATAATTTCGTACCGTCGGAAAACTGTTTTCTCTCTATCAGACGTCTACGCAACAAGAACCTCCTCAGGTTGGGCGAGTCAAACTTTGTTCTTTTCCGTCTCAAATCTGCAAGGGTTCGTGACGTTACGTTCAAATGTGTCATTGTTGTTGTCGTTGTTGTTGTTGTTGTTGTTGTTGTTGTAGTTGTAGCCGCTGCCTTTCGAGCCTTTGCATTCTGTTACGGATAGCTAGAAAACAATGATTTTTGCGCACAGCAAACGCGCACAACGACGACGCGGAAGCCTCGTTTCTTGTTCCTATATACACTCCTACGTACGTTCTTATTGTTGTATTTGCTGCAATTTATTTTCTCGAATTACGATTCCCTTTCCTCGAAAGTTTCCATTTCGTTCGGCTTAGCTTGCAAAAATCAACTGTCGAAATGATTTATGCCCGTTACACGTCCCGATTCCAGTCGATTGTATCGCAATGTTGGAAACTTGCCGTTAAATCGTAAAGGTCGAGATATCGCCGACAGAAGATATATACAAAGAGCGATGAAGAAAGAAAGATGGGAAGAAATGATGAAATTTAAAAGGTGGAAAGAAAGAAAAAGAAAGAAAAAGAAAGAAAAAGAAAGAAAAAGAAAGAAAAAGAAAAATGCAAAAG